CATTTTAGTTTTTTTTTTTTTTTTTTTTTTCAAAAAATCTTACTGATCCAAAACTTTTGAACAGTGGTCTATTTGTCAAATGACTGATCTTTTATTTCATTGTTTGACCCTTCAGTACCCCACGCCAGTTTGACCACAGCGGAGTACTACCACCAGATGGCCCTGCTTGCAGGTCACCGCAGCCCGTACGCTGACATCATTCCTTCAGTGGCATCCGCAACAGGGCCTACAAGCAGTGCCCTGCATATGGAGTACCTACAGGCTATGGAAAGTAAGTTCTCCACTTGCTTACACTTTTTTGATGTCTACCATCACCTATCAGAGTGGCAAATTTACAGTAGGCTGGGACTATTAATACCCAGAACCTTAACCATTCAAAAAAGCAAAAAACCACATGATCCTTCAGAAATCATTCCAATATGCTGAATTATTATCACAGTTGGAAATAGTTGTGCTGTTTGATATTTTTTGGGACCTGTGATACTTCTTTCAAGATTCTTTAAAAAAACAAAAAGTTAAAAAGAACAGTGTTTATTCAAAATAGAAATTTTGTTACAATATACACTAGTATTGAAAAGTTTGGGGTCAGTCAATTTAAAAAAATGTAAATAAAAAAAGGAAATTAATGCTTTTATTCATATATATATATATATATATATATATATACTGTATATAATGCTATATAATATATAAGGAACAAATTGCAAATCTTTCCTTCTAAACCATTTCCAATGAATTAAACTGGTTAAATTGTTCCATTGTCTTAATGTTTTCAAAAAGGGGGGTAAGTGTGCACAGGATGTATGCAAATGAGTTATTTTGAAGTGTAAATAGGAAATTAAAGGCCCAGTGATTCGAAGAGAGGTCAGGTGGACTGGCCTGTTAGTCTTTGATGATAATGCATTTAGTCATCCTGTCACCGGCTTCCCCATTCCTCGCAAACTAATTAAAACTAGCCAAACTTGCATGGCTATCAGAAAATTAATTGCTATTAAGTGGGAATTGGAATGTCCCACTATTCATCACTGGAGAAATCCTTTCTTCTATGGGACTGTTTAAGATTAATAGACTGAAATAAAACAATTAGGGCCATTGTTTTCAAATGGAGATGTTGGCATCCCCCTACTTCAAATAGCCTGTGATCAGCCCTTAGTAACTCAACCTATTTTAACAATGTGTGTTCCGTGTCAGCCAAATTAACACTTTAAAGCTCTTTTTATGATATATAGACTCTGAGAACGGTCTACTGAATGAGTAGAAGTGCATTATCTAGGAGCTTTTGTTAATAATGGGGATGGGATAGCACAGTCGTAGTTTAGATATCAGTGTAATTACTTCTAGAGAAAAACCGACGAATGAAGGAATTAACCTGTCCTGCATATGTGTGTTTAAGCCACACATTTTTAACGCATTAGCTGCTAATTAACCAATGTCAATTTGATTCTACCTCTATTAAACGGCTCAGTTTGGATCCTCTGTGGGATGTAGATGGATTTTTAAGGTGAAACTATTATTCCCTATAACACTACGAGTTATGTCGTGACGACATATGGGGTCTTACTTGGGAGCCCGAATCCTCTCTGATTAAAAGAAAATGCCAATGAAATTTGGCTAGTGCATTTTGCATACCTGAGCCACTCCCTGTGCATATGGGTATAAATAGGCGACAGGTGCATCCACTCATCAGATTTTTGCTTCGGAGCCGAGTGAATGAACACAGTTCGAGATACACCAGGCGAATTCTCTCTGCTGCTGGAAGAGGCTGTTCTGGGTGGCGTTACGGCACAATCAGCGGCGTCCCTTTTAATTCAGCAATTACCCTGGGTGCTTCATCTAAAAGAGCAGTTTCTGATCACGGACAGCTCTTGTCTTTTTAAAGACGGTGTTCTGTCTGTGTCCTCTTGGTTGCGGTCGTTTCCTATCCTCCGTCGACGTCCACGATTGTTGTCTTCGGTGTCTGGGCATCCAGCACGCTGGAGCTGCATTCGTAGATGGTTCATGCGTTCACTGTGAGCGTGTAGCCATGGCAGCGCTGCAATCGCGCCCCTCTCTCCCCACGGGGATGGGAGGGGCTCCCTCTGTCACTACCTGCACTGGCTTCTCTGCCACGAGCAGAGAACCGTCGGCCCTCTGGCGATCTGAGGGCTACAGCGAGAGCCTCTCTCACTCCTCCCGCAGCAGCTGTTCTGTGCGGCTCCCTGGTGATTCTGCTGTGCTGTCTGACAGCGTGCCCAGCGTTTCATTCGGTGCGCCGATAGAGGATCAGATGTCGATTGTAGCATCGGGCGATGCCTTGGCTGTTGTTGCCACCACCGAATCGGATTCAGAGTTGACGGCCATGCTTTCCCGGGCCGCCGTGAGCATCGGGCTGGAGGCCTGCACACCTCCCTAGTCCCGAGCCCTTGAGGTGGGATGAATGCTTCCTCGACATGGGCTGTGGCTCGTGACCACACCCTGCCCTGGTTCCGTTCTTCCCGGAGGTGCATGAGGAGCTGATGAAGTCGTGGACAGCCTCTTTTTCGGCCCCTAAGTCCTCCAAGAAGACGACGAGGCGGCCCTGACATGCTCAGCCCGGAGATGTGAGGAACTGCTTCTCTTCCGGAGATGGCAAGAACAGTGCCACTCCTTCCCCCGGAGGAGGACTGGGTGGAGAATCTTTTGCTTGGTTCTGTTCCGCTGTTGGCCCAGGGGCCAGCAGTAACCACATTTGCAAAGAAAGAGCAGTTTCCTTTTCCTCCGAGCTATCAGGCACGTGGGTTGACATTGAGTGACGCACTGCCTCCTCACTCTTGCCCACGACACCCCCTATCGCCAGCGGCCAAGAGATTGCAGTTCAGGGACGCAATGCCTTCCCACGCATCTCCGGCCGGTCCCTCCGGGGACACGGGGAGTCCTGCCATGATGAGCCAGAACGCAATACTTTCTGGGCCATCCAGCACAACTTCCCACCGCTGCACCACTGCGGGTATGTCGATTATCCCTTTGGCGCCACTCACATGGATTTTGGGAGCGTGGCTCGCGCTGCCCAACTCGTCCCGCTGGCTCATTCGGACAGTCTCGTCCTTGAGACTTTGGTGGCAGTCCGAGACGCCCCTGTCCTGTACGAGGAGATTGCTGTCCTATTGGCGAAGGACGCAATCGAGCCGGTCCCTCCAGCCGAGATGGTGTCGGGGTTTTACAGCCCTTACTTCATCGTGCCCAAGAAAGTGGTGGATCCAAGAAATCCTGGATCTGCAAGTCTTGAATCAGGCCCTTCACAAGCTTGCGTTCAAGATTTTGACGCAGAAGTGCATCATCAGATGCACCCAGCCTCAGGATTGGTTGGCAGTGGTTGACCTGAAGGACGCTTACTTTCATGTCTCGATTCTTCCTCGACACAGACCGTTTCTATGGTTTGCGTTCGAGGGTCAGGCATAGCAGCACAGGGTCCTCGCCTTCGGCTTTCCCTGTCCCCCGTGTCTTTACAAAGGTCGCTGAGGGCGCCCTAGCCCCGTTATGGGAAGTGGGTATCAGGATCCTCAACTATCTCGAACGTGGCCCGCACGCGGGAACAGTTGTGTGATCACAGGGACCTGGTGCTCCGACACCTCAGCCATTTGGGGCTTTGGGTCAACTGGGAAAAGAGCAAGTTAGATTCGGGGAGTGTTACGGCGCATCTCACCAGCGAGTGTGTCCAGTCCGTGCTGAACTGCCTGAGTTCCTTCAGAGGCAGGACGGTGGTATAACTGAAATACTTTCACAGGCTCCTGGGGCATATGGCATCCGCAGCCGAAGTCACGCCGCACAGATTGCTTCATATGAGACCACTTCAGCACTGGTTACACTCCGAATCCCGAGATGGGCATGGTGCCGCAGTTCGCGTGACCTTCACGCTGACGTGTTGCCGCTCATTCAGCCCCTGGATGGACCTTGTCTTTCTACGGGCCGGGGTGCCCTTAGAACAAGTATCCAGGCATGTCGTTGTCACAACGGTTGCCTCCAGGGCGGGCTCGGGTGCTACATGCAACAGGCAGGCAGCCTCGGGGTTCTGGACAGGGCCTCGACTGCTTTGGTATCAACTGCCTCGAGTTGCTGGCAGTGCTACTAGCCTTGCGGCGGTTCCGGCCATTGCCGCTTGGCAAGCACGTGTTGGTCCACACGGTCAACACTGCAACCGTTTCGTACATCACAGGGTTGTCTATGATCACATCGCGTGTCACAACTCGCCCGCCATCTCCTCCTCTGGAGTCAGACGGGGCGCAAGTCACTGCGTGCCGTCCACATTCTGGGGGCCAACGCACTCTCACGACAGCTCACATCCCCTGGAGAATGGCGACTCCATCCTGAGACGATCCAGTAGATCTGGAGTCAATTCGGGGTGCTCCCCAGTTTCCCCAGTGAGCCTTCTCGCACAGACACTGTGCAGGGTCAGGGAGGACGAGGAACAGGTCCTGCTGGTTGCACCATACTGGCCCACCCGGACCTGGTTTTCGGAACTCAGGCTCCTTGTGACAGCCCCTCCCTGGCGCATCCCTCTGAGGAAGGATCTCCTTTCTCAGGGGCTCGGCACCTTGGCACCCACGTCCAGATTACGGGATGTGGCAGACCTAAGTGTTCTCCCACCGGTGGTGGAAGTCACTATCACTCAGGCCAGAGCTCTCTCTACGAGGTGAACTTTTTGCCTTGAAGTGGAGTCTGTTCACAATCTGCGGTTCTTCTCACTGAGAAAACCCCCGAAGATGCACGATTGGAGTAGTGCTTTCTTTCCTGCAAGAAGGGTTGGAGCGTAGGCTGTCACCCTCCACCTTGAAAGTGTATGTGGCTGCTATCGCAGCACATCACGATGCAGTGGACGGCCGGTCCCTGGGAAAGCACAATCTCATCGTCAGGTTCCTGAGGGGTGCCAGAAGGTTACATCCTCCTGGGCCTCCCCTGGTGCCCTCCTGGGATCTCTCTATCGTCCGGGCTGGACTTCAGAGGGGTCCCTTTGGGCTGCTGGATTCAGTCGAGCTTAAATTCCTGTCTGCTAAGACAGCGCTCCTGCCCGCGCTCACTTCTATCAAGAGGGTCGGGGACCTCCAAGCATTTTCGGTAAGCAAAGAGTGCCTTGTGTTCGGGCCGGCTTACTCTCACGTTGTCCTGAGACCCCGGCCTGGACACGTGCCCAAGGCTCCGACCACTTCTTTCCACGATCAGGTGATGAACTTGCAAGCACTGCCCCTGGAGGAGGCAGACCCAGCCCTAGCGTTGCTGTGTCCCGTAAGAGCGTTTCGCATATACGTGGAGTACCCGCACCCGGAGTTTTAATATCTCCGAGCAGCTCTTTGTCTGGTACAGAGGTCAGCAGAAAGGGGAGGTTGTCTCCAAGCAGAGGTTGGCCCACTGGATAGTGGATGCCATCGCCTTGGCGTACCAGTCCCAAGGCGAGCCGTGCCGCCTAGGGGTGAGGGCTCACTCCACCCGGAGTGTCGCTTCCTCCTATGCATTGGCGCACGGCGCCTCTCTGGCAGACATCTGTAGAGCTGCGGGCTGGGCGACACGAACACCTTCGCGAGATTCTACAGCCTCCGCGTCGAGTCGGTTTCTTCCCGTGTGTTGGGTAATAGGTAATTGGCAGGAAGGCCAGTGTCACGCTTGCTGCACCATTCCCCCTCACACGGGGATGCGAGTGCCTTTCTTTCCCAGTCGAGTTCCCCGGACGGCGAACCCTGATTGAGCATCCTCCAGCACCCCCAGCAGTCAGACTCGGCAGAGCAGTCTGACGCCAGACCCAGTATCTGTGTTAGCTTGCCTGGGTCTCCCTGGCGCATCCCTCTGAGGAAGGATCTCCTTTCTCAGGGGCTCGGCACCTTGGCACCCACGTCCAGATTACGGGATGTGGCAGACCTAAGTGTTCTCCCACCGGTGGTGGAAGTCACTATCACTCAGGCCAGAGCCCTCTCTACGAGGCAAGCTTTTGCTTTGTAGTGGAGTCTGTTCGCGATTTGCGGTTCTTCTCGCTGAGAAGACCCCCGGAGATGCACGATTGGAGTAGCGCTTTCCTTCCTGCAAGAAGGGCTAGAGCGTAGGCTGTCACCCTCCGCCTTGAATGTGTATGTGGCTGCTATCGGAGCACATCATGATGCAGTGGACGGCCGGACCCTGGGAAAGCACGATCTCATCGTTAGGTTCCTGAGGGGTGCCAGAAGGTTACATCCTCCTGGGCCTCCCCCGGTGCCCTCCTGGGATCTCTCTATCGTCCGGGCTGGACTTCAGAGGGGTCCCTTTGGGCTGCTGGATTCAGTCGAGCTTAAATTCCTGTCTGCTAAGACAGCGCTCCTGCCCGCGCTCACTTCTATCAAGAGGGTCGGGGACCTCCAAGCATTTTCGGTAAGCAAAGAGTGCCTTGTGTTCGGGCCGGCTTACTCTCACGTTGTCCTGAGACCCCGGCCTGGACACGTGCCCAAGGCTCCGACCACTTCTTTCCACGATCAGGTGATGAACTTGCAAGCACTGCCCCTGGAGGAGGCAGACCCAGCCCTAGCGTTGCTGTGTCCCGTAAGAGCGTTTCGCATATACGTGGAGTACCCGCACCCGGAGTTTTAATATCTCCGAGCAGCTCTTTGTCTGGTACAGAGGTCAGCAGAAAGGGGAGGTTGTCTCCAAGCAGAGGTTGGCCCACTGGATAGTGGATGCCATCGCCTTGGCGTACCAGTCCCAAGGCGAGCCGTGCCGCCTAGGGGTGAGGGCTCACTCCACCCGGAGTGTCGCTTCCTCCTATGCATTGGCGCACGGCGCCTCTCTGGCAGACATCTGTAGAGCTGCGGGCTGGGCGACACGAACACCTTCGCGAGATTCTACAGCCTCCGCGTCGAGTCGGTTTCTTCCCGTGTGTTGGGTAATAGGTAATTGGCAGGAAGGCCAGTGTCACGCTTGCTGCACCATTCCCCCTCACACGGGGATGCGAGTGCCTTTCTTTCCCAGTCGAGTTCCCCGGACGGCGAACCCTGATTGAGCATCCTCCAGCACCCCCAGCAGTCAGACTCGGCAGAGCAGTCTGACGCCAGACCCAGTATCTGTGTTAGCTTGCCTGGGTCTCCGGTCAGCCCCTGTACTGGGCTAGGTGTCCATATGGCTTGATTCCCTGCGGGCAATCCCATACGTGTATGCTTCCACGGTAAGGTTTCCCTCTCGGTGAACCCATGTCTTACCCTTTGACAGACCTTTCTGTCAGGCTCTGCTAGCAGTGGTTCCTCCCTACTCTCAGTTATGACCTGCTTTAGAGTCCCATTCCATATGTAGTACTGCCCCAGGCCTGGGTCAGTCCATATTAGTGTCTCCACATGGTAACTCCCTACGGGTAGGATGTGGCCTCCGTACCGCCCTTCTCTGGAAGGCTCGCTTCCCCATCGTTATTGCCAAGCTGTAAACAGCAAACAGGAAAGGCGTGAAGCACCTTTCACGAAGGTCGAAATCCTTTCTCTTAAGAAATTATTCTCTGTGGTAGGAACAGCGGCATGGCTATCTCCAGCAGTGATGTACTTACCTTTTGGTCCCTTCGGGCACCAAGGTCAGCGAATTTGCGCTGGGGCATTGGGAAGGTTACGACCTTTGCGTAGCACCTGTATGACACGCTGCGGCTTGTCAACACTTGCAACGCCATAGGGTTGTGACAGGGTTCAGGTTGTGTTGCTTTCCATAGACCATCATGACATCATGTCATCATGACATAACTCTTAGTGACTGACAGATAGGGAACGTCTTGGTTATGTACGTAACCCTCGTTCCCTGATGGAGGGAACGGAGACATTATGTCCCCATGCCACAACCTTGAACCGTCGCTGGTTGCCAGGGACGAGTTCTGGGGTCCTCAGCGTAAAATTTGATGAGTGGATGCACATGTCGCCTATTTATACCCATATGCACGGGGAGTGGCTCAGGTATGCAAGATCCACTAGCTAAATTTCATTGGAGTTTTCTCTTAATCAGAGAGGATTTGGGCTCCCAAGTAAGACACCATATGTCGTCACGACATAACGTCACCGTTCCCTCAGAACGTGTCCCGGCAACAGCGACTAGTTCAAGGTTGTGGCAAGGGGACATAACGTCTCCGTTCCCTCCATCAGGGAACGAGGGTTACGTACGTAACCAAGACGTTTTGTTTTTGTTTGTTTGTTTTTTTTTCTACATCCACATTTACATTTACATTTTTGACAAAAGATATTTGACCATGCATGTAATATTTACTTATACTAAAAATCAGCAATTGTTCAGTTATTGGTATGTTTTGAACACTTTGAACACCCATAATGGTAAAAAACTAGTCCAGTGGTTCTCAACATTAATAGCTCCAATGCCCCTTATTGTCCACAAAAACATTCAACCAGTGAGAACCACTGAACTAGTCAAACTGTTTTAACTAGCTTAATCAACTCGTGCCACTAAAAAACTAGCACTGAGATCTGCATGACTGGTTAACTGCATGACATTTTTTTTCTCATCTTATTGACCAGTGTAAGGTGTATTGTGTACTTTCATACTGGTTTTGGCTTTTGTTTACCTATCATAGTTACAACAGTCAAACTTTTAAACTTACTTAATAATATACTGTACCAGTACTGCTAATCTAATATATCAAAGCCTGTCAAAACCTTGATCTAGCTAGTGATAATCTTACATAACCTATATATATATTTCTTTATTTATTTATTTATTTTTGCTTTTTATTGACCAGTAAATTGTATGTTGTGGCCAATTTCATACTTGTTTTGCCTGTCATGCTTATGCTAGTCAGGCTGTTTTACCTAATAAAAAACTTTTGTCAAAATTAAACCAACATTGCCAATGTAAAACAAGTTAAGTTAGTTAAAAACTGGAACACTAAGCTTGTTCATACAAGCTTAAATTTCCAGTTTAAAACATATTTTTGCATTTGTTGTTCTACCAGCTTAACCAGCTCATGTCATAAATAGACCAAAATTGTTCATTTAAAACTAGTTACGACCATCTTGGAGTTTACGCTGATCCAAACTGGTCTTTGCAGCAGGAAAATCAATATGGCCTTACAGACCACACATATTATTGTATATGAGTGTGTATTATAATGTGTATAGTATTGGTACTTAAGTATGTGGATTCATGTGTGTGTGTGTGTGTGTAAGTTTGTGCTTGTGTCTATTTACAAAGTCTTAAATCACAGTTCTAAGCAAAATGCCAGCAATGTGGTAAGATGTTCCAAATGTGGGGATACAAACACACACACACACACACACACACACACACTGAATGAGTGATTTAAATGTGAATGACAGACCCTGTAATCACTGTATGTGTCAAACAAGAAAGAGAGAGGGAAGAGAGTCAGAGAGAGAGAAAGAGTGAGTGTAATCTTGTTTTGTTTTGCATGCTTTCTCTTAAAAATGTACTAATCTGTAGGTGCCAGTCATTGTGCGTGAGTGGAAGGCCTGTCTGCGTTCGATCTGCTTTCTAGTGAAAGCTTTTCAAAAACAACCCAGTGCAATTCCATTCAGCATTAACACACTATTCAACCCAATTAAGCGTGATTCAACATCGCAGTGACGCTACCAGAAAGCAGTGAGAAAAGTGGAGCTGCAGTCCTATGTGTTTTTACAATGCGTAAAAAAATGCATGCAATGCAGAAAATGTGGTCATTGTTGAATGCATCCAACAGACTATGATAAAGAAATTGCATGTGATTAAGAAGATGGTCATGATTCCTGGTCAGTAAAGCTTTCTGTGTGGTTAATTCTCTAAAACAATATACGAACCACAAGAGAATGGGAAATTTTATGGAAATGATGTCAGTACTTGACTGTAGTACTCTCCATTTCTCTCTCTACCGCTCTTTAAATAAAAATTTCTTTCAAAAACACTATTAAATTAAATTATTAAATTAATTTCAATTAAATAAAAAAACTAATAAATTTGAATTAAAATAAATGAAAATAAGTAAAATATAAAAATAAATAAAAATGATGATTTTATGTCTTTTTGTGCCTGTTGTTTTATCACCAGTTTTAAATACATAACATACTATGTTCTTTCTCTGTTTTCTCTCTCTGTCTGTGTCTTCTCAGCTTCACGATTTCCAAGTCCTAGGCTCACAAATCGACCCAGCAGAAAACGACCCCTTCCCAGCTCCCCTTCCCTGTCTGACCCCAGTTTTGACCTGCAGGCCATGATTCGCACCTCGCCCAACTCTCTAGTCACTATACTTAATAATTCCCGCTCCAGCTCATCCACCAGTGGATCCTATGGACACCTCTCAGCTGGTACTATGAGGTATGTACTACAATGAATTAAGATTTTTTTATTTTATTTTTTATTTTACAAAAATGTATATACTTCTTTCTAATAGGCTTTAAAGCTGGATTTTGCATTATTTTAATTAAAAATATATTTTTGTTAATATATCAAGGGAATTTTTTAGTTTTTCTCTTACATGAGATAAGCAAGTCTTAATTTCTCACTTGATGGGTTTTAAAGTGGGTTTTTTCACTTCATGTCATTCCAAACTTGGACACTGTTCCAAGTATGAAAATAAAGAGAGAGGTGTGTATTGGAACAGACAAGAGGCAAGAGAATGCGGGAGAGATTCTGAGAAAGAGATAGAGAGGAAAAGCAATCCATACTGTAAGTGGACACTCCAGGGCATCCTCAGAAGCGGAGTGATGAATGAACACTGGACGGCGAAATAAACGAGAGAACACAGAGAGCGCTATTAGGAGGAAGCTTGTGAACATATTCCTCCCCTCCTCCCTCACACTCATCTGTCTGATATGCATCATCTGATTAATGTTCTCTCTATCAGCTGAGAAGAGCTTTACCCTAAGACTGCCGCCATGCAATCGCTCACACTGGAAAGGAGGAGAGGAAGGGGGAATGACGAATGAAAGGGTCATGAAGAGGGGGACGGAGAAAGAAAGCAAATTCTGGGCTGAGGACAGTAACACAAGCTCTAATGGGAAAGAGAGAGAATCTGTTGTGGATGAAGTGAATAAAACTGACCCATTCACTTTCTCTGAGGTGTAATTCATGAGCAGTTCAACCTGACGGTGTTCGCTGACCATCCTGCCTTCTAATCACATGTTTATCTGTTTCAAAGACTAAATAATTCATGTTTTTCAAATGATCCCACTTATATGGGGCACTGTCGATTTGGTCAGTTCATAGCAGGAGTCCAGACAGACATTAAGTGGATAATAAAGCGTTTGTCACAACAGTAAGCCTTATTTAAGGAGGCTGTTCAATATTCAGATACTGATGAACAAAATGGATTGAAGCTTTATCAATACTCCTTTAATTTGGCATATCTAAATTTGTCCCAGTCACAAGACACTGCCATATTGTGATTTACTTACTACTCTTTGTCAAAAATAGTAAGTTTACATTTCTTCTTGAAATAAGTACATCATTTGAGTTGCCATAGTGCTCTCAGTTAGTTTTTTTTTTTTTTTTGGCACACTACTTGCACCGCTACAAATCTGTTGTTAAAAAGTTTGGGGTCTGTAAGATTTTTGAATGTATTTGCATTTATTTAATCAAAAATACAGTAAAAATGGTAATGTGGAATTTTTAAAATAACTTTTATATTTGTATCTATTTTAAATAGATTAAAAATATATATACTGTATATTTCTATGATGGCAAAGCTGAATTTTCAGCAGTCATAACTCCAGTTGTCAGTGTAAGTGATCCTTCAGAAATCTTTCTAAAATGCTGATATGCTGCTCAGGAAACATTTCTTATTATTATCAGTGAGAGATTTCTGTGCACATTTGTCTTGATTCTTTGATAAATGGAACATTTAAAAGAACCGCATTTATTTGAAATGGAAATATTTTGTAACATAAATGTCTTTACTCTCACTTTTTGTCAATGTAATGCATTGCTGAAAAAAAGTTTTGGTCACACTTTATATTAGGTGGCCTTAACTACAATGTACTTACATCAAAAAATAAGTACAGTGTACTTATTGTGTTAATATTGTATTGCAAAACACTTTTGCTGCTAATGAGGTGGGATTCGGGTAAGGTTAGGGACAGGTTTGATGGTATGGGTAGGTTTAAGGGTGGGTTAAGGTGTAAGGGATGGGTCAACAGTGTAATTATAAATGTAATTACATAAAATAATTACAGATGTAATTACATATAGGTATTTAAAAATATATAAGTACAATGTAAAAACATGTATGTACACAATAAGTGCATTGTGCCAAATGATTAATTTAAATATAAGTACATAGTAGTTAAGGCCACCTAATATAAAGTGGGACCAGAGTTTCTTTCAAAATCAAAAACAAAATCTACTGATCCCAAACCTTTGAATGATGGTGTATGTGAAATGAGACATGCTTTCTGAAATTGTATTTCCTCAAACTTTAAAAAAATCACATAAACAAATTATCACAAAATTTAATTTATTTATTTATTTATTTTTTAACATATGTTGTATTGTTTAATACATTATCAAAAGTGTAATGTCCCATAAGTACTACATCAGATTTTGAACAATAGATTGTTACAGATTTTGCTGCATGTCAGAAAATCAGAAATTGTTACATTTGAACAGTTTCTATATCAAACTGAAGGATGGATCTACAGCTATCGTCCCTGGTGATGTGTCACTCAGTTTGACATCTGCCATCCAGCACTATTAGGAAACAACGTTACCTGGTTTGAGTGGGGGTCTCAGAGAGAGAAAAGACAACAGAAATGGACCTCTTTCCTCCACTGAGAGAGATTATTCAGTGATTGGTTTTCGCAAGCTAATCAGTCATATCTCATGTGAACATGTGGGGACAGAGGTGGCAGGCAAGGGTCCAGGCCTGATGAGTGATGAGACAGCTGCATCAGCCACGCAGCGTCTGGCTACATTGATTTCCTCTCTGCCTGTAATAGGGCTAGTAGACGTATGAGTTCGTATGGAGTGGTCAGCATGCCCCACGATGAATGGAACCCCCTATGAATGTCTGTTATTGAGCATCGAGGCTTTATCATTAAAGGACTGTGGCATCTATCGAGGAGGTGATATATAAAAGTTCAATACTGTGCTTAAATACAGCTTTTATGCTCATCAGGTGATTCATCATTTTATATGAACTATCTTGGACTTTTTCTTAAAAGGGTTTATGTTTGTTGTTGTTGTTGTTGTTTTATTAAGATTATCAGTTTAATACATTCTATGTGTAATTTTTGGACTGTAATAAAAATGGTTTTTATTATTAAAATAATTGTATTGTTAATATTTTTTTAATTATTTCGTGTTATAAAATATTATTGCATTGTATACACTACCTTTCAAAAGTCGGGGGTCAGTAAAACCTTTTTTAAGGAAAATAATACTTTAATTCAGTGAAGAGACAATAAATTGATAAGAAGTGGCGGTAAAGACTTTTACATTGTTACAAAAATCTCTTTCAAATAAATCCTGTTCTTTTGAACTTTCTCTTTATCAAAAAATCCTGAAAAAAACACACACAAAAATATGAAGCAGCACAACTGTTTTCAACTTTAGCAATGATAAGAAATGTTTCTTGAGCACCAACTCATATGAGAATGATTTCTGAAGGATCATGTGACACAAAGGCTGGAATAATGGCTGCTGAAAATTCAGCTTTGTAATCACAGAAATGTTACATTTTGAAATAGATTAAAATTGAAAACAGTTGTTTTAAATTGTAATAATATTTTGCAGTATTGTTTTTACTGTATTTTCACTGTATTTTTGATCAAATAAATGCAGCCTTGGTGAGCATAAGAAACTTATTTCATTAAAAACCTTATTGACCACAAACTTTTGAACAGTAGTGTATCATAAATAATATTAAATGATGAATGAATGAATATTCAATAACAAATATTATATAAATGAAGGAGTTTATAGTTTACCACATGACCCAAATTTCACTAATTTGTAACATGAACTTAATTTATTAATTTAATTTTAAAATTAATTATTCTATTTATTTTGCCTTACAGCCCTGCACTGAGTTTTGCATATCCTCCAACACCTGTGGCACTGCAAATGCATCAGCAGCTGATCAGTCGGCAACCAGGCATCGTAGGTTCTGCGTTTGGACACAGTCCGCCCCTTGTGCACCCATCTCCTGCCTTTGCCACCCAGAGACCAGTTCCTGGCATTCCTCCCTCCAGCCTGCCACCTACAGAACGTTTCACAGCCTCAAATGACTCACAGGTCAGTTCTCATTTCTGTATGAATTAATTTATTGGTTATTAATAAAAATAGTGGAGAAGATATGATGGAATCAAGTCAGTTTAACACAAGCTGCTCAGTTTTTCTGGAGGCTCAGTTTTTCTGGAGCATGTGGTTCAAACCTTCACAAGTTAGAATACACAATACAAAGCAGGAAGAACTTCAAAAATTAAGGACATTTCCATTTGTAAGTTTAAACAACACAAAGCATTTTTAAATCATTTAAAATGATTGCTTTTGGGTGTTCTTGTATTAAACAGCAACAGAAGTCGTTTAGTTCACACAATGATTTTCCTCCTCAAGGCTTAAATTTATTCAGCGCTTATCATCACAAGTGCTGGTGCTATTTATTATTGTGTGTGGTTCATGAAAACACACCACAAACACGACAGCATTTATAAACAGCAGAGAAAGTGTGGCTGCAGGTAGCCCTCCCTCACAGACAGGCCTCATGGGAGTTTTTCCCTTGTGTGCGTGTAGTTTCTGTGTTGTGTCTCGATGTGCAGAGCCGGTGAGCTTGCCCAGAAGGCGCCTTTGAGAAATAACACCCTGCTTGTTAGCAGCAAAAATCTTGCCACCTCCGCCATTAATCAGACTCAGATACATTCCCAAACCTTCTCTTTGAAGGATGAGCATAAAAGTGTTTTTCTTCTACAGTTTTTTCACCTGATGATGCCCTGTCCATTTATACTCACCCGGTTTGCTGGATTAAAATCTGTAGAGTGCATCATGTTGTTTTTATCTGTCTTCGTATCGATTCCTGTTTTTTTGTGCTTCAGTAACAGTTAACTCTTAGTGTAATGGTGAATGAGTTTTCCCGAGATTTTTCTCAATGCCAGTATTTCCTTTCAAGCCATTACAGCCTCACTACTCTTTCCTAGATCAGTGTCATCTATTTCCCCCCTCTAACCCCAGAGACAGCACCAGCTTCTTTAATAGAAGGGCATCATGGAACATTTGTCTCACCATGTGGTCAAAAAGGAACAATTAATAAAAAAGAGAAGGTGTGAGCATTTCTCAAAATGACAGACAGAGAAATATCAGATCATTGTGTATTACTGGATCACTACGCACTTTACGATCTAAAGTTATATACACTAAATGTGGTGTACAATATATTTCTAAGATTGTCTTTAAATTTATTAGCATGCATACTTATGCTTAAGGGGGATAGTTCAACCAAAAATTAACATGTTGTCAACATTTCCTCACCCTCATGTGATTAAAAACCTGTATGATTTTGCAGGGTTTGTTGTCCTCGGCGAATATTGAATAAATTAATTTGCTGTGCTATACTCAACTATACTCAAAACTCAATGCAAACAGTTACTTTTCTTGCTTTGGTTTGGTTAATGTCTATCAAATTTAGTACACATTAGTACACACGCTAATTAAAGAGTCACAAAACTGGCAATGAGTATTTTCATGCACAAATGGCCACCAACCATTTGTGTATTTTGTGTTCTTTAAAAGCAAAAAAAAAAAAAAGGCTTAGCAAAGTTAAATGATTTGCTAGAGGAGTCTGGCAGAATGAACCTTCCTTTAGAGCCAAGGAATCCTGCTCTCTCATCCAAGGAATGTTTTTCTCTCCCACTGAGTGCTTTTTTTCTTTACTGGCTTTGGCCAGTCGCAAGGGACTTCCCTTGGCAGAAAGAGAGAGAGAGAGAGAGACAGTGAATGAGTGGATAGAGTCAGAGGAGGGGTTATTGCTGTTTAGGGAGAAATTGTGAATAATGTCTGTGGCATTTTTGAATAATGTCAGCGAATATTGTCAATGAATAATGTTTTTTTTTTTTTTTCTCTGAAGTAGATTTGTAATATACGCATATTATTGCACTACCAAAAGAAGGATCATTTTTTAGGAATGGTACCATGTTAATATCATGCATGTACCATTACAGTACCGTGTTATACTCTAAAGTACAGTGGTAATATCACAATTAAATTATACTTACTATTTTAAATATCACGTTTTGGACATACCAATACAGTAATATAGTGGTTTTTAGACATGTACCATAGTAGTTCCTTGTGAAAAATAATTGTGCTTAATTGTACTGAATGTGCACTTTTTATTCACTTTTAGTCAAATCTCAGAAATATATTTTAGTATACTTACAGATAGTATACTACAGATAATATAATATTAATGAAATAAAAGGCCTCTTAAGTGTAAAAGGCCACTTTGATGATCATATCTATGTCTCTTAACACCCTTAATAAAGTGCATATTATGTACACTTTTAAAAAGTAGACATTGTCAGCTTGTCAGTACATTAGTACACTTTAACCATATTTGAAAAATAGAAGTGAAAAGTAGAAGTAATTATGAAATTACATATAAACACTTACAATTTCCAAACTAATAAGTACCTATATTTTTGATGATGATTATTATTATGTGGTCATATTTTATACATGTTTTTAAAATATTTGCTTCTAGAGTAAACCCACCAGTGAGTCGGCTGTAAGTAGCACAGGGGACCCCGTACCCACTGTATATATATATATATATATATATATATATTAAAAAACACACACATACTTGATAGACATATATGTATAGGGCTAAAAAGCACTCACACAACCTTAAGGAGACAGTTACCACACATTCACACGCAGCAAGAGCTTTGGGACCAGTTATGTGACGCACTGTAAAGCTATTTATTTGCGTGTTTGATTTGGTCACCTGTTGTGGCACTGCTTCAGATGCGATAAGCCCCATTGATCTCCACAGCTTCAGAAGGAAATTGTTTTTCTTTTAATCAGATGCTTAACTGAATGGAAAAATGAAAGAAAAATTAGATGACACATTTTCTACAATGCCCCTTATAAGCTGATGGTTTGATGCTGGATGGCTTAAATGGACCTTTGTCTTCTTTTTTTTACTCCGTGCTTTAATTGTTTTTCTTATTTATTTTTCTACAAGTATTTTCCATAGCTTTTTATTTTATTTTAGAAGTCATCATTCACTCTCTCTCTCTCTCTCTCTCTCTTTTAACAGACAGTGAAATACATTTAGAACAGTGCAGCAGTGATTTAAAGGGGGTTTGAGTCTTCAAACAGCCCAAACCCCTTGTATATCTTCTATGAATTTAGACTGGTATATTGGTAACACTTTAATACAGGGACCAATTCTCACTATTAACTAGTCGTTTATTAGCATGCCTATTATTAACATATTGGCTGATTATTAATACTTATAAAGCATTAATTCTGCATGACCATATTCTATATCCCTAATCCTACCCAATACCTAAACTTAACAACTACCTTACAAACTATTAATAAGCAGCAAATTAGGAGTTTCTTGAGGCAAAAGTTAATGGTTTGTTAATGACGAGAATTGAACCTTAAAATAAAATGTGATCAGTGTTTTTAGTGATACTATTCAACGATTCTTGTACTCTACAGATAGACAGGCAGATGTAGCAGCACACAAGAACTTCTCTCCAAATAGACCTCTGAATTCACAAATCCTAATTTCTATTTCCAAAGCTGTTAACACTTCTAAACAACTGCCAATTCTGCATACTTTGTGGCACTTACCAAGCAAAGTGCTCTTTCCAGGGCATTATAGGATGTTTTTTTTTTCTTTCATAAAAAGAATAACATCCCTGTAAAGACATACAGCTAAATGTTTTCTCAAGAGATATTCCAAATGTCAGATGCAGAAGTTTAGCATTGTGTTAATGATACAAATAAGGTATGAGGACTCATCTGGCTGTCACATACTCAGAATAACATCATTTATCATCATCTGCACTTTTGAATAATTCCCATTTACCAGGCCACACATAAAAAATTATCCTAGAATGAAATAATTTCCTTCATGCTGCTGTAACACACATTAATATACGTTTTAAAAATGACCCTTTGCACTATCAGCAATAAATGGTGACAAAGCGACTGAATGTAGAAATGCATTCAAATTAGGGAATGGATTTAGAAATGCAATCGATCAGAAATTAAAACCATGCTCATTATAGAAGAGGTATATTCAAGTTATGCATTAATTAAATTTAGTATTTTTGAATAAATAAATAATGACTGACCCATATGCCCTCACTATTTGGCTGCATGTGTTTGTGCAGGAGCAAATGGATGGAATGACGCTGGTGAAAGAGGAGGGTGATAAAGAGGAGGGCAAGCCGGAGCCAGAGGTGGTGTATGAGACCAACTGCCACTGGGAAAGTTGCTGCAGGGAGTTTGACACCCAAGAGCAGCTTGTGCATGTGAGTGGACACCACGTTTATGTTTCATCAATTGAAATGTTCAGTCTCTTAATAGAATCATTCATGATAAGGCTCTCAAATAGGTGGAAAAGACACACATACACACACAAACACCTTAAAATCCTACATTTGGCTTCAGACATCCCATTTGTCACAGCCACTCCCAAGCTTAACCAGAGGGTAAAAGGACATTAAAGCCCACTTTCTGTGAAGATACACCACTGTCCCCTTTAACCATTTCTCTCTGGACAACACACACAGCCATTCTTTAACCACTCTTTTCTCCTATTATCCACACAAACACACACATTCAAAGAAACACACACCAACCCCAAAGGCATCTGATAGAAAGATTCCCAGTTCTCCACGGCTGTCTATCCCTACTCTGACATGGCAATCCATGGCAGCTGCGCTAACCCCTATCTATAATTGAAAGCCTCCAGTTGGAATGGCCTGCCTCCCACATTTGAAGTCTTGTCCTCAAAGCTTAAAGATCTTGACAATTTCTTGCCTGTGCCTTTGAAAGCGGGATATAGGGAAAGAGGTACATATTGCTATATGTTATAAATATTTTTAGGTTTTAGGCAAAATCTTTAATTTAGTATTTGAGCTGACCAACTACACAGACATTTTTTTTTTATATATCAAAATTTTAATTACATTTATCCTATATTGTGTGTTTGTGTGTGTGTGTGTGTGTGTGTGTGTGTGTGTGTGTGTGTGTGTGTGTG